TTCACACTGTTTTCGCCTTCATGTGCTAAATATTGGCCCATATTCTCCCTCAGCGTAATAAACCAATAAATCTGCTAAAGTATTTTGCAATGGTTTGACATTGTCTTTTTTTAATAAATTCCACTACTTGCAAATGTGCTTTTTTTCAGTGTACTATCTGTCGTCTCTATATACATATGTTCATGTATCTATCCCATGAACGGGCTGATAGGCATGTTCATGGCTGTGGTCAGGTATGAAAATTCTCCTTACTATATTTTCAGGGATTCTGTGAGACTCTTAACTATTAATGGCTTTGGCCTGTTGAAGTATTTCCGTTTGAAGGCTTGTAGTCAAAAGTATTTTAATCAGATATCGAGCTATAAAAGGTCTACCTAATAGAAAGATTCTCAATCTGATGAAATTTTCGAAAATATTCTTTGAAAAGAAGGAAACTAGATTTCCTTTCTACTCTTCCAAGTTTGTTCGCTGATATTAAATTAAATATTAAATTCCATAAAATTTTCATTCAGACCATGAACCAGCTGTTGGCTAATCTGTTGCCCAAATTACATTGCAACATGTGGCTTCCTCACAGACACATAACTAATTGATGATCTAATTGAATGCTGTCCAACCATTTCTCATTCGTTTTGTTCCTGCAACATCTGTCAGATCCATCACAATAAATAACCATATACTTATAAGGAGTGTTTCCAACATTAAAATCCCATCATGCTTGAGATTAATGTGAAAAGGTCACGCCCAGCCCCTTCTCGAGGAAGGAAAAGCCATTCACTTTAGCTAGACTTTGACATTTGCCTTCGCCTTTGCCTTTTCTTTTGTTTTGTTTTCTAGGCGACACACGTGACAATGTCGGGGCAAACATACCCATACTCGTAAATGCCGTGTGTCAACATCCAGGTCGCTGAGAAGTAAAGTGAAAATGAAAATGTCTTTTTATCAACTTTTGGTGGCCTTTGCTGGCTTTTGTTGTAGTTTTTACATTTGTCTTAATTAGGGGTTGGGGGAGAAATAGAAGCCACTTGAGGAAGTGTGCTGGAAGAGCCATCAGCTGCCGCTAGCACTTCTGCACTGACTTGTCTGACTTTCCTATGCTTCCCCTGCTCTCCTCTGTGGGCCAACACGTGTGCGACTTAATGGCAACACTTTCGTATCCTTACGGCTCTCGTATGCCGCTCATGTCTGTCTGTAATTTATATGGCTGCTTGAGTGCCAGCTTCCACCCTGACCACCCTGCCCACTCTCCCACTCATTTCCGCCAGCTTCTTCTAGCAAAATTTGTTATTACGTTGAATTAAACTTGAAAAATGTGTTAATGGGGTCGTTCTGCGCTGCCCTAAACCAACTGCGGCTCCGACCAAGCAACTTAATTAAATTCCACAATGATTTTGTTATTTCGCCATGTAGAAACAAGGCAGCATCTCCAGCTGTACATGTAGCTACAATTACAAGAGACGAGACGCCAAAACACATCGCACCACATGGCGTATGTGTGATATTTGTAAGCCGCCTTCGCCCTTACACGTTCTTCCTTATAGTGGCTTTGTGCCTGCTTCCTGCTTTTCTCTGTTTTTCCGTCTAATTTGTTAGTAATAATGAGCTGTGAAAAGTATTTTGTACGTTAATTGGTAAATTGAGGGTGTAGAAGAAACTGCGTGAGAAAATTGTCCATATGCATGGTGTATATGGGGATGACGGAACACAATAATGCGGAACTGTGGAGTTAAATAAAACTGTCTACACATATGTATGTGTATTTGTTATAATGAACTTCACAAGCTTAATGGTTAAAGCTATGTAGTAATCACTGATCGAAGTACATGGAGATAAAACTAGCCCATAAATGATTGCAATTCAATAGAGAATGGATCTAATATATGTAAGATATTATTTAGTTGAGTGTTTATTTATTATAAAAAATCGCCGAAGACTGGCAAAGTAAGAGAGTAATTTTGTCGACACGGCTCGATCTGAGCTTGACGACTGACTTATTCTGATTGCCTGCTGCGGCTATCCTTATTACGACTGACTGCTGTTCTCTTCTCCTTTGCTGTTAGTGGTACTCTGTAGCAGCTACTCCTTTCAACGGGCCAACTGGCTAATTCCTTCATACATATATGTACAATATGTATATTGTAGCCAGCTGATTTCCAATTAGCTCCCCACTTCTGTTTACATTTCCCAGATTTACCCAAAAGTAAAAATCCCTTAAACCAAAAATTTGTACACATTGTATTTATCCTTCCTGTTTTATTGAAATTTATTCGGACTTTTCGTCTGAACTGTGGCGACACGGAAATGGTTTTACAGGTCATTAAAAAAAACCCCAGGATTTATGTGATAGCAATGTGGAGCAAAAAAAAAAAAGTTAAACGAGAAGGAACGTGTGAGTCGCTTCTGGGGACGCGACTCTACTTATACCCGTACTCAGTCAGTATAAGTATATGAGCTTATAATTTTTTAGAATTTTTGAATTTAAAAAAAAATTACATATTTTTGCTACATCTGTTATCTACATCTACATGTATATTTTACATCTAACAAGTAGATTATGCATGTACCATTTAGATTCTACATCTCCTCCGTGAGGGGTTGCTGCACACTGAACGCGGCAGAGTGTGCGAGCGAGAAAGCGAATGAGTAGCGCGGTCGTCGGCAGGCGGGAGCGGGGGAAACAACTGAAAATTAATTTCTTCATTCTGGCTATAATAATGATCCGATCTGATTCAGATTCGGCAATCTGGTAGACATAGTCATTCTCTACGATAGTTTTATCGTATCTTTAAAAATGTGCCTGCCACAGATTTTCGTTCTTTGTGGTGGCGGAAGGGGGTGTGGCGAAATTTTGAAATACACTTGTAGAAGTGTGTTATCACATGAGTCTGGAAACAAAATTTGGTTGCTCTAGCTTTTATTGTCTCTGAGATCCAGGCGCTCATCAAGACGGATGGACGGACGGACGGACGGACAGACGAACAGACGGACGGACAGACGGACATGGCTATATTGACTCGACTATTGATACTAATCAAGAATTTATATACTTTACGGGGTCGGAAACGTTTCCTTCCCTGCGTTGCACAAATCCACTTTTACCACAAATCTAATATACCCTTAACTATTTTTTGAGTACGGGTATAAAAAGAGAAAAGTTTCCAGTGACCAGCACGCCAGGACCCATGCCATGGATATTACATCCCAGGAAAGATTCGGTTTCTGTTTGGTGACTTCTCGTTGCCAAACGGGCTTTAAGCTGTAATCCGAGTTAACTTTAATCTGAGGGCAATTAGCACAGAAGGGTGAAACACAGTCATGGAGGGCCAAAAATGTGACCAAGTGAACATGGAAAATTAAAGAAAAAATTAAGCTCCATCGAAAGTTGTTCCCTAGCTTTAAATTCCAATAAACCGCTTTTACAAATACTGATTGCCTACAGATTTCCACCTGGCTAACCACTCATAAATACTCAGCGGAACTGATTGCCACTGAGGATATTGCGGCCTTTGCTTATTAAATTTTTCAAGTGTGGCAGACAGAGTGCAACTATTATTTATTAAAAAGCAGAAACACAGCCAAGGACATGCCTCCATTCAAGGATAAATATGTTGCTGCTTAAAGTATTACAATTTAAACGTTTGTCAATTTCTACGTCCTGGACTACCCAGATTTCCACACGAAATATGGCCATTGCGAGCACAATTTTGAGCACAATTTGCATTTGAAATGTGTTCTGTATTTCCATTTGAAGTTCTATTTGCATTTGCGTTGTTAGACCTGGACACCTTTCCGAAAAATGATAAAAAGGGTGCGGCTCTGCCCGAGTGTTCATCAGGATGTTGGAACGTGCGTTTGTTTAAATGAGAAAAACATGTGATTTTTGTCATTTTCTTTTCTTTCTGTTAGTTTTGTGTAGTTTTCTGTTTTTTGGGGGTAGTTTTCATTTTGTTTGCTCGTTGAAATTTCTAGCCGTTTACCTTGATGGGATATTTTTTGCAGGGCAGTTGAAGTAATGAGATCAAAGTACGATATATGAGATTTACCTCCTCACCATTTTCGAACTGGCATCATAATAATTGGATGCACCCGAAAAGTAAATATAAATTAGAGTAAATTAATTCACCCTCATTTTCCACTCCTTGCCCCATGACTGTGGCGTTTAAATTGAATTGAAAGTTCTACGTTGACAGGAGGGCCTGTCTGATGATTTATCATCATAGTTCCGGGTAGAACTTTCATTAGGAAAATAAGAATGAAGAAGCGAAGGTCAAAGGTCCCTCCATCCTCTGGCCCTGTCCAAACTATTTCGCCAGGGAGTGCACGCACTTCCATCGGCCGAAAACTTGTGAATTTTCTTCCTTTTCTTGTGTGAACTTTTTTTGGTTTTGTTTGGTTTGAAAAAAGGGAGGTTAGCTTTAGTCGACACTTTATCATGTCTCCGATGGCGACGGGAGGTTTGCGAAGGGAGATTGTGGGCTCAGCTTGCCCGGAGCGCACAAATTGAAATGTGCCAGCGTCAGTCAGAGTAAATGAGGCAAGACGCAGCCACAGACCCAGCGGGAAGTAATTGTGGGACCCAAACCTCTGCCTGACAAAGTCTTTGCCGTAGTAAAATTAAATCTCCATTTTCAACTTTTTCGTTTTTTCTTTATTTATTTTTTTTGTATTTGACTGTTGTATGCCGTTGGCTGCCTGTGTATTACAAATATTTACCCAAAGTGATTTTTGACAGCGTCATAAAGGATCGGAGGAACCGGAGAGACCGGGGAATACCCGTACTTCATGCCCCGTTTGAGCGTAGTTCTTGATTTGACCCAACAGCTCGAGCCATGCGGCGTATGCGCTACTCGAGAAATGTGAGCGAGGCTAAAGTACCGCCAATTGAATTGCAAATGCGACAAATTCACCACCGTCACGATATTTGCTTGAGATCTGCGGCAAGTGCAGCCAGGGCGAATTGGATCATATGACGTCCAGTGCTCCAGACACATACAACTGCATTGGTGTAACAATAATTTTATTATTCCACATTTGTAACTTTGGCTTTTACGGTTGCTCAACGAGCACATCAAATTTGTCCGTCCACTGATTTGTTCGATTTGGTTTGAACCTAGAAGTTTGTGTTGCAAAAATATTGATTACTTGGTTAGACTAATTCAAAGATCTTGTTGGCAGAGGAACCGATGTTGCCGAATTGGATTGCACTGCAAGTTTTGTAACAACAGGAGTCCGGTGAGGGAGGGGAAGAGACACCACCAGGGAAGAGAACGTTGGAAGAGTCTAAGAAAATGGAGTTTCTGTCGTGTATCGTGTGTCGTATGTCGTATGTCATGTGTTGTGTATCGTGTTTGAGCGCCAATCGCTTCTGTTTAAAAGTTGACATAATCGAGCTCCCGACGTAATCGAAGCGTTAGGCGCAGCTTCCTAAGCTCCGTGCTGTATTTGGCCTGGCAGCGGTCCACGTCTACGGGATGGGGCAGAGGCAGGCGAAGGCGATAGAGAACGGTGGCCAGATCCAGATCCGTTTCCTGCAGAGTCAGTTTCATCTTGTCGACGGTCGTCTCCTCATCGGGAAGATGAATATCCAGAATAAGATGTTCGCAGCTGGCCGACGAGCCCGTGCGATTGCCCATCTAAAATGCGTGCGAGTGATTACTAAGCGAGCTTGGACTAGCGAACAAATTCGGGTAGTTAGGCCGACCTGCAGAAAGACATCTTCAGTACCCACGGCCTGGCTGTAGGTCATGGTGTATTCTGGGCACTTTCTGGTCTCCAGAATATCATTGTCCTCACGTTCCTGCTGCTCCTGCCACTCCTCGAGGGTATCGGGCTGCTTCTTTTGCTCCTCCACCAAGGGAGTGGCCAAGGGATTGGGCTTTTTGTTTTTCTTTTTCTTGGTCTTGGCCTGAGCGGAAGAGGCTGCTGCCGCTTCTGTCTGAGGACCAATGCTGCCAGGTGCTGGACCAGGAAGAGGTCTCTTTAATAAGCACTTCCTTCATTGTCCTCTCCGGGCATACTCACTTAGCTTGGGCGCCACCATGGACTCATCCTCATCCTCGCTACTACTGCAGTCGATGCCGGGACGAGTCTGCCTAGGATTCAGGAGGCTCTGCAACTGACGCAGTTGGTCGGGATTGTCGAAGACCGACATTGTACTGAAGTAGCTTTTACTTATTCTCTTATCACTTATTCCTTTAAGACAACCCTTTCTTGACTTATTGCACTTGTTAATTAATACTCGAAATATTAATGGAGTTTGGTTTTTAGTTTTTAGCTGGGCTTGTTGGCCTCAAATGAGTGAAATCGCTTGGATTTAGGGATCCAACATACGGGATTTCCATGGCTAACTCGATACTACGCAGTCCTTGTTAAATCATTGCTTATTTTGATGTGATAAATAGAAAAGGTTGCTATGCCAACGGGAAAATCGTAGAGACCAGTTTAACAGTTCCGTATGAAAACATATTTCCTCCCCTCCGGCGACAATTCTCTTTCAACGCGAAGCCGCGACAGGAGCTAAGGGCCCCAATTGGGGCATTTCAATTATAAACTTGGGCTCCCTTTTTAGTGTTAAACTTTTTGCTCGAGAGCCAACTGAACTCGAACAAAATATTTCACTTGTCAAAAACAATTGTTTTGCGAATTATAAATTGTGTAATTATTGTTCTTTGACCTTGCTGCGGCCAGGGCCCGCAGAAACTACGAGTATGAACAGCGAAACAGAAATTTGCATTTTTCACGCGCCCCATACTGGGTCAACGCTAATTTGACTTTCACTCTGCCGGAGTGGGAGGCGAAAAGTGAGCAGCATGAAAACGTGGCCCCGTTAACAACATGGCTCAGATACAATAGCCACAGCCAAAGCCAAGCCCAGTGGGGTCTGAATTCGGCATTGGACAAAAAAGATTTTCAGTTCGCGTTGTTGTCCTGTAGCCGGCTACGTGTTTAATTTGTTTAACACGAACTGTCGGCGCAAGTGTCTGGCCCTAAAGAAGAAAAAATGGCAGCCACTCGACAACACTATTTAGCGACACTCGACCTGACCGCTGACCAAGGGTCTGTCATTTGCAGTTTTCCCTATCCTGTCACAAAAATATAGGGATTCCAGACGTATTTGGAACCAGAGCGGAATACAAATGGTGGAGAGTACATATTTAATTGTTTGCTAGGATATTATTATATGAATGCTCTGATCTATAATATATGGACTCGTATTTTTCGATTTCTGTTTAAGTGATCCACAACTCTGAAAATACCCTAGCTCACTTTATTCCTTCCCTTCTGCACGAAAAAGTTTTGAACATAAAGTTTTGGCCCCTTGCGCACTCGAGCAGGAAGTTCAACGCATTCCCAGAAAGCCTCCTGTTGTTGCAACAAAACCTAGAAACCAAACAAAACCCTCTTTTTAAAATCTGCTCTTCAACAGCATTGCAAACATCACGTATCTGCATTTTAACCTTGTTCCGCACACACATCCAACCTTTCTGTTCCGACAACTATCGACTGTCGGCACAGGGTATCTGTCCTGTGGACAGTACTGGGGCAGTACCGTCACATCTGCAAAGCCCCTAAGGCCCCAGATCCCCAGATGCCGCAACGCATCCAGACAATGAACATGAATCCATGGTGTAATTGTATTTTGGTTGTCGCACACATTCCAATGAACTGCAGAGCCCCGAAAAAAGGCAAGTAAAATTTGTGTTGACTGAATACACACGACCTTCGGTTCCGGCTAACCCACTGACGGGACCCCTCTGAAAGCATCCATTTTTCAGCACCAACAAGGCCATTGCCAAATAGATTTTGGTTTCAGAAGATAGGAAATGGAAGGGCTGGCGACAGCAGCTGAAGCTAGTAGGGTGAAAGTGAAAGCGGTCTCCGCATTGTGTTGGCAGCTGGGACGTGCCGGGCTGCCCATACCCCTACACCTCCGCCCACCGAAGGAATGCGATTTGTGTGGGCCATTCTCCACCTCTCCAGATTCTCTCCCTTTGAATTCTTGTCTGCTGTTTTTCAACAAGATATTATTTTTGGTCTTTACATAAAATGTAATTAAGAAGGCATTAAAGTAGCGGGCATAAATCATGGCAAGCAGCACAGCAGCGGGCACATGTGTGAGTGTGTCTGGTGGGGCACCTGGCGGGGCAGTTACGTGATATTTCTCCTGCTGAGTGGGAGCAGGGGCAGCGAGCATAAGATAGATTTGAATAGAAGACGGGAAAAATACATAGCATACACTGGGGCTGGAGCTGGAGCTGGGGCTCACGATGGGGTCCCGTCAAAGATCTGGTTCCTCCGATTGCATTTTTCTTTGGTGACACACTGGCGCACAATTCTTTGGCTGTTTATTTATACATTGCTTTTTTTGTTGTTGTGAACAATCTGTTCATTTATTCACTCTAAAAATATATATCAAATGGAGTTTCGGAAAACAGTTCTTTTTCTCGAGTCTCTTTCGCAGATACAAAATGGAACATTCGTTCTTCCTGATTTTTGTATGCACGAGTATGCACACACACGTGTGTGAAATAAATGCGCCTAGTCAAATAATTCTCAGAGCAGCAGCCTTTGGCCAGAACAACAGCAAAAACAAGTAGAGAAACCTGGCCACAATTCCACAATGGAAAAAACACGATGAACAGGATGTGCAGTCAAGCGAGCAGGAGCAGGAGCAGGAGCAGGACAGGAGCCAGCAGCTAGAAAAAGTTGTGGAATAAAAAAAACTATAAACGTTAAATTTTCCTTGTCTGCTCTCTCTCTCTCTCTATCTCTCTCAGTCTTTATCTGTGTATACTCCTTAAAAAGAAGAACAAAAAAGAATGGCTAAGCAATAGCAACAAAACTTAAGCCAAAAAGGCGCGCAACTTCCAACGGAGCGGACTTTAAAGTACCACGAAAATGGCCGCCAACAATCCGCCTTCACCAAACCATCAACACCAACAACCGACCAGATTAAATTTAAGAGAAGAGAAAAGAGAAGCTTTCGAACAATAAGAGAGAAAACACTCAAAAGAGAAAATGGCCTTTAAAGAGAGTCTTTTCGCCTAACGAAACTTTTGTTTGTAAACAAAGTGGAACCTACACAGTGGAACGTGAGTGGTTATATGGGCAGTATATGAATTTTGAATATTAACTACAAGGAAACCAACCAGCTATTCAAATATCTTATAGTCGATAGACGATAGTTTAACTTCGAAAAATAGGTGTTGGCGCCCCACTGTGATTCGTAATAGAGGGTTAAAATATACATACACTGTGAAGATGATATTTCCAATCCGAAAAATGAAATAAACAAGTCATCTATTTGTAATCCTCATTTTAATAATTTCAATTCGCTTGCCAAATTTCGATTTGTAATGAGTGAATTCGATTTTCATTCGAATGAAATACAAAATATACGAGAAATCGTGCACACATTGAAAATAATAATAATAATTAAAACTATAACATTCACATACTGGAATGGGTGGGTGACGGTGGCTCTAAAACAGTTGAAATCATTCAAATTAATTAAACGAAATTCACTTTATAGATATGTATCTATAAAAGCCCGACAGAAAACAGAAAACGAAAATAGATCCCATACCCCCTGAAACAGAGCATGGCGTCCACTAACCCCATTATCAAATTACACCTCATTACACGCTAGCCACACCATTCCGATTATGACAATTATCTAATAGAGTAATGAAAATAAATCAAATTAAATGCAAATTGAAAGAGTCGGCGAACGAAAGTGGAACTCTAAGGGGAATATGCAATCAGTTTACACGAGAGTGAACCGATTTTCGATCCCTCTCAATTTCTGAAGGCGAGCACGTATGCATGTAGCTGTAGTTGAGCGATATACCTGGGGAGAATCCCTAATCGGCTCGATCAGATATCAAAATGGAAAGCAGCTAACCAGAGGCTTAGCTGGGAAGACTTGACGCAAGACACTTACCTTTTTTCGGCCTGCACCTCTGCGACGCTGCTCCGTAGATTTGCGTCGCCATTGGCGGCGCTCCGTCTCGCTGGCAAAAAGATCCTCCACGCTGCTACTGCTGTTGGGCTCCCGCTCCCCCTCCTCGTCAGAGCTGCCACTGGACTGATACTGATCCGTCCCCACTTGGCCGGCCTCCGCATCGCGCTGCCTCAACTTGCGATAGTCCCCTGAATCGTCGCTGCTCAGAAAACGTTCTCGAAATGCCTTGTAGATCCCCGCACTTACGCTCCCTATGCTGCCACGCCCCTGGATGTGCGCCGCCGAGGCGGTGCGGCCGGCATAGCTGCTCCGCCGCTTTGTTCGGGGATTGGGTGTTCCTTCGTCGGTAGACTTCTTAGCCCCCTTCATATCCATCTTGCTTGGCTACTCCTCCTAATCTGCTCCAATCTCTGTTTCTTAGAAACCTGTGAAGCAATGATTGCCTCGCATGTCAGGGAATCGCTTTCTGCTCCCTTGGGTTTCTAACCTTTTGCTCACGGATCCGGGGTGTGTGTCTCACTTGGTTTCTCTCCAATTAACAATAACGAGTGCTGCAAAATATTTGAAAGAAAATATAGAAATATAAAGAAATTTTGTTAGGGGAATTTGCATGCATGCTTTCAATTAATAAGGAACCTATTGAAATCTATTTTCTCTTTTCTTTCGGCATGGATTGTTGAGTTTTCCATAAGCGAACAGCAGTTGGAAGTGGATGATGATGATTGCCCTGGGCATAGGCATATGCCTATACATATTTGTATGTATGTGTATTCAGCGAATTGCACTTGAAACAGGTGAAGAACATGCCATAGAAAATTGGGAATAAGGAAGTAAGAGGAAAAAGAGTGCCAGAAAGGTGACTGTGTAGTTTAAGTTGCACTCAGAGAATATGTTTTATTTAAATTTCAAAATCCAGATAACTCTTCTAGGGCCCCATTCACATGCAATACTTTATACATATGTGAGTTTACTATGAAATATGATAAGAATAAATATTTAATAAAAAGCTTAAGTATGCCATAAAGATACACGGACTCTTTCACAAATCGATGAATTTTATTATTTTTTTGCAGAGATAGTTAGTTATTAAGCTTGAAGAACTTAAATGTCAATTCTGAACAAATTTAAGTATTTTTAAAATCTCTTCCACTCTACTGGAGATAAATAATGCTTTTATTTCAATTGTTGGCATGCATCATTCATTATGCCCCAGATGTGGACAGAAGTTAATGTGATTTAATGACAATCAAACATTTCATATGACAGCGGGAATGTCAGCAGGCTTTCGATACATTATAATCATGTTTTTAAATGATTTGACGAGGGACTCGATTAACCCGTTTTCAATTTCCATTTAACTTAATTGGGTCAACAGTCACTTAAAGTAATTCAAATTAAGCTTCCCTCGCTACACAAATGCGAAAAGTTACTCGTAAATTTTCAGTCGTTTTCCTTTTTTTTTTTTTTTTGTTGTTTTGTGTTAATTCATGCAGCGGCAAATGAACATGAAAATGCGAAAAAAACAGTCGGATTTCCCCCCTCTCTCTCTCACTCTCCTTCGTTTCTGAACAAGTGAAAAGGTGTCGGAAAAGATGAAAGGGGAGAAATGATGAAAAAGTTAAAGGAAATACCGCAGAAGGCGCCCTGCTATGTGTGTGGTGAAAGACCCAGATCGTATTCCATATGTGCAATTTCCATCTGACTCTTGCCACCTTTCCTAAATATGTAAGTAAAACCTCATTTCCACGGACATACAAAAATAAGTAATGGAACCATGGCTGTCCACCCCAGAGAGCGTTAAATGTACACAGAATATTTGCCTAACTTAAAGGATGCTTGTCTTGGCTCAGAAGTGGATTTTTGTTTCCATATTCGCTTTGTAAGTGTTTGTGCGCCATTAGAAAATATGTATAGCCTGCCTTTACACTCAGAAAAATGATTGATTAGATTATAAATTTATTTTTATATTTGCTTGCTTTTTTGGATGATTATAATTAATTATTTTAATCTGGCTATCGCTCATAAGTGTATAGGTCCATCCAGCTATCGTTTGAAATGTTCACGGTGTATGGACGCTTCGTGCATAATAAGCAAACGTTAAACAGACGATGTTGACGACAGGGCCCAGACCAGACCCAGAGATAGGGAACGACCCAGAGATAGAGGCAGACCGGGACCGACAAGAATCAAGAACACACACACGCACACACACCGCTAACCAAACTGTCATATTAGCATATTGAGAACGCAACCAACTCCAACTGTCTCTCTCCCTCTCTCTTTCTGACTTTACCGTCTCTCTCTCTGTGTTCTTCTGCCTGCGCTTCCTCTGCTCGCTTCCCAGCGCCAACGCATCCCGTGCGCATGCGCAACTTTCTTTGCGGCGGAGCCAGCTTCAGCGTCGACTGCGCTGTTTGGGGGGCCTTGAGGTCTGGAGCAGGCGCGGCCATTGGTATCAAATCAGTCGGTTTGCAGACTTTCGCGTGTGCGGTGGTAACAAACGCGGAAAAAGACAGAGCGACGAGAAACAGTGAGAAAGAGAACTTACATATGTATGTGAAGACTGAGGAATCTCGGATTAGGGCGAGATTTGTTGACAGTTCGAATCATGTGCAAAGCGAGTGAGAAATAGTTAAATTATTGTCGAGAACAAGTCACAGCCTAAACTGTAGCTGTAGTAGAATAAGCTGTGTTTGCTTTACATAATTAACAAGTGGAGTGTGAAAGAAAATCCAAAAAAATCCCATAAAACAAGTAGAACTAGAATCGAAATATATTCGTAACGGAACTTGACTTTCCGGGTGAGAGAGGAGCGACGCGCGTTTCAAGCAGAGGCTCATTAGTCTTACATGCATTAAATTGCATAACTCAGCAACAGTAACAGCTGAAGAATCATCAGAACCAGTAGAAGATGATGCTCCACTTACGTCACTGGCCATTAATGCTGGCCATCGCTTCCTGCATTGGCCCAGCCCCGGCCACAACGACATCATCTCCATCCTCCATACCAGGCAAATATCAGGCCTTGGGTGCAGCAGCTCAACAACAGCCCAATAAACTGAAAATAGGAGCTGGAGCTGGAGCGGCAGTCAACGCTTCCTCATTGGGGGCAGCCTCCGGCGGCCGTAAACCTGTATTCCGGCAAAATCCGATCAAGAATTGGCTTGGTTCCTTCAATCGCAATAATTCGCCGGCAGCTCAGAACCAAACATCTCCGACATGTTCCTGCAGGTGAGTGGTGAGCCACAAAAGCTGTCATGGTCATGATGACAACTTCCAGTTAGGCAGCAACAACAACACCAACAGCGAAGTGACAAACAACTTTGGGGCTGTCATTGTCTCGGCATACAAATGGCACAAACAGTTAACGTCACTGATATATTGGAGTGCCTGCGAGGAGGAGATCATGCAATCCCGTCGATATTCTTTGGAAGAGATAATCTGTGCTGGTCCATCTCTCCTTGAAGCCCATCTCTTAGATTCAGAATACGACTGAGGCTTTCCCATAATATTCGTCTGTGAAATCAGTACTTAGCTAAAGATTTAGCAATAGAATTGCACAATCTCGCGATTTTTTGGGTAGAAATTCCTAATGAATCCTTCAGTATTGCTGTAAGCTATAATCAAATATGATGTATAGCATATTGTAGATATATGAGGTATTATCGTCAGCAAGAAATACACACATTCTACAAGTATGCGGTGTCAACTCTACTATATGCTACTCATTCCGCAGCAAACCTGCAGCAAAAGCGTCTTCTTTCCTTCTTTTCCTTTGCTAACCGCTTTCAATGCCAAGAATTTTCTTGACCCCCAAGCCAGTATTTGGAATGCACTCTTCCAGAGCCTATTAAACAAATTGCATTGCCAATTGGGAATTTAGCTTTGGCTTTTGGCATAAGGAAGTACCCGAGGGTACTTAAAAAGGCAGCTGAAGGTACGAGTTGGACAGGAAACTTACTCCTCAGGGAGGAGCTGTTGAGCCAAAAATAGCTGAACAATCGGCAACAGAATTGAATAAGGCTAGGCAGCTTAGGTTGGATCAGGTATGATAAAAACGAATCCTAATGATTCACAGTAGACGAGTTGATATTCAGTTGAATAAAAACTTTTTTTACCCATATCTTTCTGAAAATGTTCCCTCAATCATTAATAACAATCAATAAGTTTAATTTAAATCCATTCTTAGCCATTCAATCTTCTGTTCTTTAAAGCCTAAACCTGTTTTATTTGATATATGTATGTATGTGTGGGTAGTCGTAATATTTCTTGGTTTTTGCGTTTAAAAGAATACAAATACAATCGTATTTGCATACGATTTGATAACAGGCTCTGTTTGGGCTTTAAGAACGAATGTTTGTACTGCCCACAGATACATGAATACTTGTAATTTATACAGGCCTGGCTTTATAAGGCGTAAGCCCAATCCCAATGCGTCACATTATTGTCTGCGAGGGAGGTACGGGGAATGCCGCGACTTCGTCTTCGTCGTCTCCCAAGTGGGTCGACGTCGCACATTTTACTTCTTTGTTTCGGGACGCCTCTCTCGCCTGCCGGGGCCACCATTTTGGGGCAATGACACGATTAAGCCAGACACACACACTGGGGCTTGTCGATTGATTGTGTGCCCAAAAAAATACTAAGAAGATGAGAACGAACTTGTTACGCTTCCTTGGCGTGGAGTTTTTTTACCATTTTCTGAATGCAGTTTTCTTTTCTCTGTTTTTGTCCATGGTTTTGGCAATTAAAAACCTGTTTAATGGAACGTGTCGTCGTTCCAAAGATGACAGCAATAAAATCTGCAAAAATCGCTCATTTGTTTTATGGCCGGTCATAAAGACTTTGACACTTTCTTTATGGCGAGGTTGGTGAACTCTGAACCCTTCGCCCATTTGAACTGGTTTTCAACACCCAATCGATCTGATCGTTATCTATCCCTCCCTTCACAGATGTGGCGAACGGAACGATGAGTCAAGGATCGTAGGGGGGACCACCGCTGGTGTCAGCGAGTACCCCTGGATGGCTCGGCTGAGCTACTTCAATAGGTTCTACTGTGGGGGGACATTATTAAACGATCGCTACGTGCTGACGGCGGCGCACTGCGTCAAGGGCTTCATGTGGTTCATGATCAAGGTTACCTTCGGAGAGCATGACCGCTGCAACGACAAGGAGCGGCCCGAAACGCGCTTCGTACTGCGCGCCTTCAGCCAGAAATTCAGCTTCTCCAACTTTGATAACGACATTGCCCTTCTCCGACTGAACGACAGAGTGCCGATCACCAGCTTCATTCGCCCCATCTGCCTGCCACGAGTGGAGCAGCGCAACGAACTGTTCGTGGGCACCCGTGCTATCGCAACCGGCTGGGGTACCCTCAAGGAGGATGGGAAGCCTTCGTGCCTGCTGCAGGAGGTTGAGGTCCCAGTGCTCGACAACGAGGAGTGTGTGGCCCAAACCAACTACACCCAGAAGATGATCACCAAAAACATGATGTGCTCCGGCTACCCGGGAGTGGGTGGACGCGACAGCTGTCAGGTTGAGATAATTTTCCAAAACTATTGAGATACTTTTCCAACACTATTGAAATACTTTTCCAACACTATTTCAGGGTGACAGCGGCGGGCCCTTGGTTCGGATGCGTCCAGACGACAAACGCTTCGAGCAGATCGGTATCGTCTCCTGGGGAAATGGATGTGCGCGACCCAACTATCCGGGGGTCTACACTCGAGTGACCAAGTATCTAGACTGGATTGTGGAGAACTCGCGGGATGGCTGCTTCTGCGACGAGGATTACTGACTGTTAGTCACCTAGTTGTAGTTTCTCTCTTAGTTGTGTAGTCCATATTTTATATTTTTATATTAAAACAACTGAATAAAAATACAAACTGTAGTAGGTAAGATATCCAAGTATACAATAGTGCTTTAAAATGTGCAAAAAAAAGAGAAAAAAGAAACGCGACTGCGAAAGTACAACATTAGCAGAGCAAGGTTTCGATCCTCGGACCTCTGGGTTATGGGCCCAGCACGCTTCCACTGCGCCACTCTGCTGATTGACGTCTCTGTGTCCAAAGCGCTATACAACCTACAGCTGGCAAGCAGTGCAAAATTCTTATTGGATTTAGCAAACGTATTTCTTTTTTACTTGACCTTTATTTATTCTACACGTTTTATCTCATCTTAATTCAAACGAAAACCATGATATCTGATTTGATTGTAGATAATGTAAAGAGGAAGAAGACATACATATATTATATCTTATCTGCTCAAATTAGAAAAAAAAAATTATAAGAAGTACATATGTACAACAATTTCAACAATTTCCTTTCTACTGAGGGTGGTAACATTGTGTTAACATTGCAGGGTGGGTAGGTACATCTTCTGACAGCAGCACAGAAGCTGTAGCTGGCTTCTGGCATAGTGATGGCAACAAGCAGAGTGGCGCAGTGGAAGCGTGCTGGGCCCATAACCCAGAGGTCCGAGGATCGAAACCTTGCTCTGCTAATGTTGTACTTTCGCAGTCGCGTTTCTTTTTCCTTTTTTTTATTATAAGAAACAATGTTTGCTCAAGATGAGTATTTTTGTTCATAGCATTATTTTAAATTACAGTTGCCTAACGAGCCGCAAAGAATACCAGTCAAGATAATGTGATTTGACTCGACTACCTTCAACCGTTCGTTGCAGCTCAAAACCGAATTGCAGGCAGGTTAGTTTGACTTTTGTGTATAGCTCTCAGCGGCCTGATGCCCAAAAAGTAAATATCGTTAGAAGCACTGACTATGGCATGCTAGCAAACTGGTTTCCATCAAACAGCTGTAAATACAAAGGGGCAAATAAAAGATGAACGGCTCTCAAGCGACAGCGCTTGGTAAAAAAGTCAAACGTACTTATACTGACTAGCGGAATAGAATGAACGAGAAGGAACGTGCGAGTCGCTTCTGGGGACGCGACTCTACTTATACCCGTACTCAGTCAGTATATACATTTTTGATCTTATGATTTTTTAGAATTTTAGAAAAAAAAAAAATTTTACATTTTACATTTTTTTGCTCATCTGACCTATCTACATCTACAATGTATATTCTACATCTAACATGTAGATTGTACAATGTACATGCTCCATTTAGGTTCTACATCTCCTATGGGGGTTGCTCGCGCACTGAACGCGGCAGAGTGTGCGGCGAGAAGGAAAATGAGTTGCGTTGTCGTTTGTTGGAGGGGGGGGGGGGGGGAAGCAACTGAAAATTAATTTCTTCATTCTGGCTATAATTATGATCCGATCTGATTCAGATTCGGCAGTCTGGTAGGTATGGGCATTCACTACGATACTGTTTAGTTTTATCGTATCTTTAAAAATGTGCCTGCCACAGATTTTCGTTCTTTTGGGGGCGGAAGGGGGCGGGGCGAAATTTTGAAATACACTTGTAGCAGTGTGATATCACATGAGTGTGGAAACCAAATTTGGTTGCCCTAGCTCTTATAGTCTCTGAGATCTAGGCGCTCAACAAGACGGACAGACAGACAGACGGACAGACAGACAGACGGACAGACGGACAGACAGACATGGCTATATCGACTCGGCTATTGATGCTGATCAAGAATATATATACTTTATGGGGTCGGAAACGTTTCCTTCTCTGCGTTACACACATCCACTTTTACCACAAATCTAATATACCCCTTAACTCTTTTTTGAGTACGGGTATAAAAAGCGCCGAACCGAACTGTTTGCTTATGAAATTTTAATACATTGCCTAATTAAACTTACGGGGAACTGGGATTGGAAATGCTGCTGATTCAGACGAAGCTGCGAATGACGATAGCCGATGTTGTATCTGCCTTGCACTTCAATAGATTGGCCACACATTAAAATATACACAGATTGTATGTAGATTTGTAGATATGCAGATGCTTTACCTGAGAATTCACTTTAATTTCCACTTTCGCTCTTGCCCACTTTTCATTTCAAGACATAAAGTTTTCCTGCACTCACGTGTCTTGTCTGCGCCTTGCGTAATTATTCAAATGGAAATTTTGCACTGGATCGAACTTTGCGCATCTCAAACAGACACAGACACATTTTCGTGGGCTTTGAAATTTTCTTCTCAATCTCTTGTTTTTGCCCTGTTTTGTCGCGGTCCCGCGGCCTACTCTACTGCCTCGCCAGCTGTTGTTTACCGTTCGCCGCTCGCTCGCTCACTGAAAGCTCCAAGAGATAAAAAGATACAAGTTCCCCGTATCCAAAGATATCCATGTGTATGCATGCACATACATACATATGTATGTATGTACAGTACACTACACCCGTGCCGATGGAGGTCTGCTTCGTCAGAGATCGAGATTCTTTTTGGTCTCGAGTGGTGTGGAGTTTTACGCTCTCCTACGACTACTAGCTGGCTTCTGTGAATGAATCTTTTTTGGCAGATTTGAGAACTGAGCAGACCGAGACATACATCTGTCAAATTCATATACAGTTCAAAAAAACTCTGAGAAATTTCAACAGAAAATTAAAGAAATACTTTCGGAAATATTAAGATGTCTTCAACGAACTCTACTGAGACGCTTTGCACCAGCTCTGCCGTGCAGAAAGTAAAGGCAAAAGGTGCATCCAAATCCATTAAAAATTCGCAAGCACTGGAAGCAATGGAGAAACGCTTGGATCTTCTCCTGGCTCGCGTCGCTACTTTGGAGAATTCGTTGAACGAATTGACCACAACTTTCTCTAACAGCGATACCGAAGAGGACGCGGAGCCGAAGGATCAGGAGGTATCTGATGATACATCTGCTGAGTTGTCTAAAATAACTGCAGCGATTGGAAATTTGGATCTCGACAGTACTTAAACCAAGAAACTGCTAACCTCACAATGTAACTCAAAAAAACACTTGAAAAGCGGAAAATGTATCACACTATTAATCGGACAAAGACACTATTGGGCCAAACAAGCAACGTAAACATTTTAACATCACTGTTATTCAGACCAAAATAGTATTGTAAGCAAACACAACCAATGATTATGTAGCAGCAGATCGAATAACTCTTGCTAAAACTATATACTTTGTGTGTTCTCCCGATTTAAACTTTTAAACTGACGCACAAATACCGTGCATTTTAACATTTTAACTAACTTCGTTGGCGAGGTGGAGCCGATTTTCGCGCTAACACATCTGCTCCTGAGAACGATTCCCATCCATCTAGTTACTGTAGGGTGTGTGCCAATTCTGGCGCCCATTGCTGCTGTTATTGAATAAGTCGTGACGTTCTTGGGTCATTGGTTCTTGGCCGACTGTGTCTAGAAGAAAAATTAAAAAATTCAATTAATTTGGATTGAACATGCTTCAATTACATTTACCTAAGTGTGGTGCCTATAGTGGTGGAGCTTAGGGATATGGGAAAAGCAGATAACCTGATGGCCATTGCCGACAATAGAAGAGCACCATTTTTGTATGTAATCGTAGGAATTGTAGGGACGTGTTTAATAATTTACCAAATCAGTTTAATTTAATTTTGGAAAAGGAGCGGCCTATTATCCAAGAAAAGAAAACACCATTCAGGAACATTATTACACCAGAGGAACGACTGAAGGTGACGCTTTTCTATTTGTCCACTGGTCGTATGCCATTTCGTCAAACAAAACCCACATACATATATACCCACAATTACGAAGATATTTAGGCAGACAATACCTGCATTGTATAATGTGCTCAATGGAGAGCACCTACCGTTTCCGACCTCGGCAGAAGAATGGAAACAGATTGCTGCAGATTTCAATGATATTTGGGGATTTCCCAATTGCATTGGAGCTATAGATGGTGAGACACGTAAAGAATTGCCTTTAATATAATTGATTGTGGCTTTTCCATTTACCGGAAAGTATTGCAAAACACGACCCATATCAAGCGAGGGAGATCCCTCCATGATGTTAATGGTCATCAGACTCTGATTTGAAATACAGTTTGGATGACACCAGCATCCACGTACCATCACCGTCTGTGCTTCCGCGGTCGAACCTTGTCTCCCCATACACACTGGTCTCTGATGAGGCTTTCCTCCTCACCGAGTACAACATGAAGCCGTACTTTTGCAAAAATCTTACCGAAAGTCAGCAGCATTTCAATTATATGCTTGCGCGGAGTCGACGCGTTGTGAAGAATGCGTTTGGGATGCTGGCCAGTCGCTTCCGAGTTATCTTTTCGCCCATCAAGCGTGCCCCAATGACATTCAGCAAAATTGTTTTAAATTGCTTTTGTCTGTACAAATTTTTGAGAGAAGAATCCATACGAACGAATAACCATTTGTATGTCATCCCAAATGTTGAATTGCAGCGCATCGTTTGGATTTGGAAAATTAAAGAAAAATACGAAACTCTTAACATTTAAATTGTATTTTAATATAGATTGGAATCCTATTTTATTGGGCTTCCTCATCGCATCCCAACTGCTTGATTTTAAAATCGGTAATTAATTGTAAAATTTTGATTTCCAAACGCTTTCCCAAATCGTCGTCTTATATTTAAAATCGTCCCACCAACGAATGCACCAAAGTCGGCGTGTGGGTTTGATTTTGTCGGCATCGCCAGGACGTCGGTGAGCATTTTCTGCGAGTCGGAAAGTTTTGTCAGAATGCCATCGTTCGACTCGGAATCGGATCTCTTTCTCTTTGGCGCTGGTGACCAGGGTGTGCAAAATTCCAACTGTTCGTGCACCGGAGAACCCTCCTCCACCGGGAACTTCTCTTCGTCGTAACTTTCCTCACCGTCGTTAAAGGTCATACTACTGTGGCTGACTGACGTATCGGGATTGTATCCTGGTGGTATTCTGCAATCTGCCATGAAGTCCATCTCGTCCATGTACGTCCAAGCGCTACGCACTTCCCCATCCTGTGCTCCACTAAGCGCTGCCTTCATCAATT